TGCCCCGGTTAGTTTCCGAGACTGAGTAGAAAGCCCTGTATTTCTCCCGTGGAGTGGCTAGTGGCTTTGAACTGGAAACCTTACAGATCGCAGGCCAAGACAGTATGCCACCAGAGCCCCTCCGCAAAGAGCTACTGTCTTAGACACTCACAGGGACGGCTCTCCCCTGCCCTCCAAGGGAGTTATGAGCCAGCATCCTCTCAATGGCAGTGAGGTTTTCTTTTGGGGGTACTGCTAGTACGTATTATGGGGGTCTTCCAGTGCATCCTCTCGATGGCTGTGAGGTTTTTGTTGTTGTTGTTTAATCATTTTATCGGGGGCTCTTACACATCTTATCACAATCCATGCATCCATACATCGTGTCAAGCACATTTGTACATAGGTTGCCATCATCATTCTCAAAACATTTCCTTTCTCCTTGAGCCCTTGGTATCAGCTCATTTTGCCCCTCCCTCATGAACCCTTGGTAATTTATAAATTATCATTGTTTTCATGTCTTATACTGACTGCTGTTTCATCTTCACCAACTTTTCTGTTGTCCATCCCCCCAGGAGGGGGTTATAGGTCGATCATTGTGATTGGTCTCCCCTTTCTCCCCCCACCTTCCGCTTCCCCTCCTGCTATCGCTACTTCCATTATTGGTCCTGCGGGATATGTCTGTCGTGGATTCCCTGTGTTTACAGCTCATATCTGTACCCTTGTACATGCTCTGGTCTAGCCGGCTTTGTAAGGTAGAATTGGGGTCAGGATCTTGGGGGGAAGGAAGCACCAGAGGGAAATTGTATATTTCATCCGTGGAGTCTGTTTTGTTCTGGTTTGGGGCTGTTGGGATGTATTATTGGGTGTCCTCCAGTGGATTGACTCAATACAGGTGTCAGTGAGTTCATTTTGCTTTGTTTTGATTTTTGGGACTGTTTGTTGGTATGTATTCTTGGGTGTCTTCCAATGGACTGCCTCGATGGCTGTGACTGGTTTGGCCTGCTGGATTCCGATGCAGATGACTCCATATGACCGTAGAGGCGTCCTACTGGGTTTTACAGGCCGTACAAGATGGACTGATTCACGCTACTGGACCCGCGATGAGATGGATTGACACAATGGCTGTCAAAACTTAGCAACAGTTTTGCGCAGAGTGAAGGACCAGGCAGTGTTTTGCTTTGTTGAACGTGGGGTGGCTATGGGTCCGACCTCACAAGATGGATTGGCACGGGGGCTGCAACAAGGGGCCCCCAACATCACAACCATCTTGATGGTGCACGATGGGGCAGCTTGTTCTAGTCTGTAGGGTACCCGGGGCTGTGAGTCTGAGCCCACTAACAACCACACAGAGCAGCCGGGCTGGCATCAGGTTGGGAGTCCCAGCGCTCCTCAGTCATGTGTAAGGGGTCTTGTCTCCCCAGGGGGGATTTGTCTTTGATATAAGAGGTCCTGGCTCTCTCTTTTCCTGAGGTGCGGGGTGGGGTCTCTGCTTTCTCTTGCCCCAGGGGGCTTTGTCTTTGCTGAAAGAGGTCTCCCTCTCCCCTGTATAGGGGGCTCTGCCCTTCGATGACGACAACCTCCGGCAGCTGCTGGAGAAGGTGAAACGGGGCGTCTTCCACATGCCCCACTTCATCCCTCCCGACTGCCAGAGCCTGCTGAGAGGCATGATCGAGGTGGAGCCTGAGAAGAGGCTCAGTGTACGTTTGTGAAGAGCTGAGAAGGGATAGGGGGGCTGGGGAGGAGGTTGGGCAGTGGGTGCTGAAGGCAGGACCCTGTGGCTTTCCAAGACTTGTCTGTCAGCACTCAGCGTGAGGGGTAGGAGCAGGGGCCGCTGGCAGAGACGCAAAACG